AAGTTTAAATAATTTGTTAAATGACGATGCAATTTGTTGATGGTGGCAGATAGTGAGTGGGTGTCTAGATATTTTTTATTTTTTTATTTATTGTAAAATGGTGAGTGTAATAAATAGTTTTTAAATAAAATTATAATAGATTTTGTTTTGGTTGAATGGTGAGTATAATTATCAAAATATTATTCTTGGCTAGTTTTGTATAGAAATAAACCAATAATTAAATATTGATATAAAAGTAGAAATTTAAGGTTTTAATTAAAAATAATTAAGATTGAGAGTCAAATTTTTTTATTTTGATAATTTTTTATTAGGACATTTATTCATAAATCCAACTTCATCTATTTACGGTCCACTTAGTCTAAATTATTTTTTTATATTACAATAAATTTTATGAATGATATATTTACCAAAATAATCCTAATAATAATATGGTAAATGAGTATTAATATTTACATTACTAAATTTATTTAATATAAATATTTACATCATGAAACATTCAAAATAATGCACACAAGTCACAACAAGGGTTTGAGACCCATTAAATCCCCTCTCTCTCTCTAACTCAGAGGACCTCTCTTTAAACTTCATTTCTTAAGCTTTTTGCTGGGTATGCCACTAAGGGTGGGGAGGGGTTTCAGCCCCGACATCCTCTCTCCTCCTTCCATCTTTTTTTTTTTGGAAAAATTGGCCTAAGGTCCCTCCTTTACTTTTGATAGGAGGAGAGGTCCTTTATAATATGTTTTGATGGCTAAGATCCCTCAAATTTATTTTAGGTTATAAAGTACCTAAATTACCCTTCCTTTATAACATAAATTTGTTTGAATATTATATTGTTGACTTAACTGATAGATTTTGGCAACCGAATTTGAAGTGCAGATTTTGTCGGAGTTTTCGTCGGAGATTTCAGTGGAGATTTTATGGTGGAGATTTCAGTGGAGTTGACGAGAAAGATTGCTACGATCGTGTAGATTTTGTTGGAGATTTCGTCGGAGATTTCAGTGGTGTTCACTTTCAGTTTGTAGTTCAGAGAAAAGTATTTTTCTGGACTTGTATTCTATGTGATTTTTTTTCTATAATTGTGTTTAATTGTTAGCAGTAAATTTCTCTGTGATTCATTAAGTTTCTGTGATTTTGTTTTTTATCATCTTGAAGGTGAATATCAGTTTGTAGATGTCTTTGGAGTTTTATTTTAAGTTCAGAGAAAATTATAATTTTTAGAAATTTCTCTGGACATTTATGTTGTTATTGTGAAGTGTTTGTGTGATTTTTTTTGTTGTTTTTTGTTTCAGTTTCAATGGACAGTGCAGTGTTGTTGCTGTGTAAATATGGGAATGATACTTTTGTCATTAATGTTTCAAATTTTGAGGAATTGGTTGGCATTTTGTGTAAAACATGGGAGAATTTGAAACCTGAGACTATGTGTATTTCATATTCTATTTTGGGCCATCCGAATTGTATGGTTCGAAATAATATTGATTTTCTGAATATGTTAAGGGTTGTTTGTGCACGCGGTGTTGATATAGTTGATGTTTCAGTTAGTAAATGTAGTACTTCTGATGAAGAGGATGAAGTGGGGTCTAATTGGGTAGATGTTGTGGATGGTGAGTGTGATAGGCTGGTGGATGTTGAAAGGAATTCACTCTCTAAGTTTTGTTCTCACCAAGAAAAGGTGTTATTGTCGGCTAGTTGGCGGAATAATATTACGAGTGTTAGACAAAAGTTTGAGGGTGGTGTGTATGCTATTGAGGTTGGTTTTCAGTTTACGTATGTTAAAAATGACAAGGTGAGGGTTACGGCAGAATGTGCCTATAAGGAATCAAAGGGATGTATGTGGCGTGTACATGCTTCTGTTGAAAAAACAAATGGGTTCTTCTACATAAGGACTTTGAACAATGAACATACATGTGGTGTGGCGGTTCGTACGAGTAAACATTCGAGGATGACTTCCAGTTTAGTTTCTGGGCTGATACTTGAAGAGGTAAGTGCAAAACCTTTAACTCGTCCAGTGGATGTTGTGAAAGAAATGAAAGACAAGTATGGGGTCTCAATCAGTTATAACTGTGGTTGGTTGGGTGTTGAAAAAGCAAAATGTAGTACATATGGGGATTCTTGTTTGTCTTTGATCAATTACGGTGGTATTTTGATGAGGCATTGAAGAACAATCCATGGAGTCGTTTTGAGTTAGATTTTGAAGACAACAAGCGTTTCAAAAGAGTGTTTGTGGCTTTTCATGCATGCATTGCTGGTTTCAAATATTGTCGGTCATTGCTTTTTCTTGATGGAACATTTTTGAAAGGACGATACAAAGGAGTTATGCTTGCTGCAACGGGGAAAGATGGGAATGAAGGTAATTGTAAATATATCTAATTTTATCTAAGTAGGTGAATTTTCTATACATGTAGGAATTGAGTGAATGTGAATTTTCTCTAGTTTTGGCCACTGTGTGGATTTTCTATTGTTGTGGCCACTGTGAGAATTTTCACTGGATTTTGGTCAGTGTATGAATTTTCTCTGGATGTTGTCATTGTGTGAATTGTATCGGTAGGTGGTCACTAAGTGAATTTTCTCTGTATATTATGATTGTGTGAATTTTCTTTGTAGCTGGTCACTAAGTCAATTTTCTCTAGATGTTGCCAATGTGTGAATTTTCTCTGGTTGTTTATTGTTCTATTTTTCTCTGCATGTGTATATCTAATATGCTTGTTCTTATTTGTTTTGTAGGTTTTTTTCCTGTAGCTTTTGCTGTTGTTGATGCTGAGAATAAAGACAATTGGTGTTGGTTTCTTGAACATTTATATGGAGTATTAGGATCAGAAAGGGTGATAAGTTTCATATCAGATCGACATTGTGGAATTGTTGAGGGAATTGCTAGGTTTTTCCCTAATTGCTTTCATGGATTTTGTCTAGAACATCTAAAGAGAAATTTGAGGGATAAGTTGTCATGTGGAAACACAAATTTGGTTAGGGAGACAATTGTGTCCAAGTTTTCAGAATGTGCATATGCTCCAACAAATGCATCATTTCATTTCAAGGTAAATGAATTAAAAAGTGAGGGAGGAGACATTGTGAGTGTTTTCTTGAGAAGTTTACCATATGAAAATTGGAGTGATGCATATTTTGCGGGGAAACGTTATGGTGAGATGTATTCAAATGTTGCTGAGTCATTCAATTCATGGATACGAGAAGCTCGGCACTTGCCAATAACAAATTTGGTGGACATGATACGGTTGCAAATCATGAATATGAGGTCTGATAGGAGGCTGCTCTCTAGTAAATGGAATAAAATTTTGTGTCCTCGTATGGATAGTGTGTTGGAGAAGTATTTTTTGGACGGGAGGACATGGAATGTGAGTTTATCATCTGATAATGTCTTTGAAGTGCATTGTTTTCCTTCGGTTATGGTTGATCTTGGGTTGAGAACTTGTTCATGTCGAAAATGGGAAATAAATGGGTATCCATGTCAACATGCTGTTGCTGCAATTTTTAGGAGTGGAAAGAATTTGAATTCATTTGTTGAACCATTTTTTCATGCTGATATGTATCGTCAAGCATACTCGTTTTCGATTGGCCCAGTTCCAACTGTTGAAAAACCTGTGTGTAGCGTTGAAGATGCTATGATTTTACCTCCATTGAGCAAAAGACCTGCTGGAGGCCGAAGAAGAACAGAATCTCTTCTACTGGAGAGTTTAAAAGGGTGATTAAGTGTAGTCGTTGTGAGAGTATTGGTCACCATAATAAGAGGACATGCAAGGAACCTTTGTTAAATAGTTGAGGATTATACATTTTATTGATTGAATAATACATTTGATGATTACTTTGTGTATTTTGTTTTGTGAAATTTATTTTTTGGACAGTGTATATAATAATATCAATCAAATTCATCCAGAGAAATTTTTCAATATCAGTTAAAGTGTGTTTGTTGATATATACTATAGGCAGTGGGTCTGTAGTACCTGTCAAATTCATCCAGAGAAATTTTCCTATGGCAGAGAAAATTCTGTGTGTTGTGTTTTGAAGCTTCATATTCATTCACATAAATTTGACAATGGCAGACTAAAGTACTGTGTGGATTGTATTTTTTGAATTTGATAATTGTTTTGTACTAACACAGTGCATTAGAGATTGAATGATCATATAGGCACCTTCTTTGGCGAGATATGAGTTAAATTTATCTGTAAATTTCCGGTAGCTTCATATCAGTCATTTCAAGAAATGTGCAGACCAAACAGAGCATACAAAAAATTATTGTATAACCAAGAAACAAAATTAAGCTCTTTTGGAATTTCTCTGAGTTGAGAATTTCTCTGGACCAGGGAAGAATTTCTCTGGACTCACTTCAACTCAAAAATTTGTGTCAAAGCCAGAGAAATTTTCCTCACCAACTCGGAGAAATTCCTCCTTTCCAAATCACTCAACCCAGAGAAATTCATAACTCAGAAATTCCATCTTCTGTCAAATTCATCCAGAGAAATTTTCTATCATCAGAGAAAACTATCTGGGCATTGTGTTCTGAAATTTGAAATTCATGCAATGAAATTTTCCAGTGGCAGATAAAATTACTGTGTGCTTTATGTTTTGTTGAGATTAATGATTGTTTTGTACCAACACAAAGTATTACAGATTACATGATCATATAGGCATCCCCTTGGGACGATACAAGTTAAATTTCTCTGTGAATTTCTGGTAGTTCATACCAGAGAAATTTCTGCAGACAATTTTCTCTGTGAATGGCAATAAAATATATATATATATATATATATATTTAACCATCGATAGGTATGAAATTTACATTAGTTGAAATAAAAAAAAAATGAAATTTAGATTAGTCAAGAAAGGATATATACATATATGTCAAGGATCATCAATCGTTCAATGTATCAACAAGAAAGGATATATACATATATGTGAGACAATTTTTTCTGTGTGGATATGTACATTGTCTTCCTTTCACTAGTTTCACTATTACATTTGTGGTTCTTCTGGAGGTATTTCAATTGGTTCAATCTATGACCGGCCAACTTCGGTCACAAATCTTTCTATGAGTTCTGCCCTCAGCAACCTTATCTCTTGTGTGGACAATTTGGAGCTGATAGGTTCATGCTTGCTATATTGTTTCATTATATAGCAGACAAAGAGGCCACAATCCAGACTGCATACAAATTATAGGTATGGTTAGTTTTAAGAAACATGCAATTCAAATTATCTTATTTATAGATGTATGAAACTTACGAATCGCTTTCTTGTTGTGGAGCATTGTTGACTTACTCAAAGTCGTAACTTGTGTTTTGTGAGTTTATTAATTTGAAAAAGGGTTGTGATTGAGCGTCTCTTTCAAGGCAAGCTTTCAAAAAATTCTCCACGTAATCTTGCTGCAAAAAAATAATTTTTATATAACAGAGAAATTTACGGACAAGTCAATGGGATTATATGAAAATTATCATCACATAAAGATGATGATGGATCAGAGAAATTTGCACTCGTTACCAATTGTTTTGCATCTTTGAAATATTTGTCTTCTGCATCATCCCTCCTTGGCCTCAGTGAGTTGTAGAGCCTCCATAAATTGTTTTGTTTGTCCAGGACAAGGAAGGTCCAGTGATTTCCATGTGTGGACTTCTCATTACCTCCAGTATTTATTGGGAAATGGAGAAACCTATAGTTCCTCCATGCTGTTTCAATGTGCTTGTCAAATAAGGATGCTCGAAAAGTTTGATTTTCTGTCATCTTGATGAAATTCTGTGCTCAGAGAAAATCAAAAAATGGTTTTGTTATGACTAGTCACACAACTGATTTCAAGAAGTATATTAAGAAGAGAAAGTAGAAAGTAAATTCCAGAGAAAATGAAATAAAATAGTAGTAACATACTAAGCACATGGATGTGAAAAAAAATGAGGTTGGTTGTTGTCTCTCTCTCATTTGGTCAGCCAAAAGGATCTCTCCATAGCCATCAATGACCTGAAAAATATGATTTATAATTGTAATATTGTTTTATAAAGGCTGATGGAACATTGCAGAGAAATGTTGATGAAAGGGAAAGACTTACATTGTTGGCAATTTCTTTTTGCTTTATGAGGTTTCCAATGTCTTCAAAGGTAATGATATTCAACTCACTTGTCCAAATTAAAGCTCTACAAGATGACAAAGAAGGGATTGAATTGTTGTTAATGCAACATAAGTTTGTAATTTGTTGTTTGTTATGTTCTATTTTGTTTGTTGTACTTACTCAAGCCCAGACACATTTGATATGTGCTGCAAGATGTCTTTTATATGATCTTTTATCAATCTTGAAATGGGAAGAGTTTGTGGAAAGACCCAAGATTTTCTAATGTTTATAGGTTGAGGCAAGATGTACGCATCAGCATCAAGCACTTCTTTGTCCTTCGTGCTTTGCTCAACTTGCTTTGCAGCTTGTTTTGAAGCTCTAGTCACTTTCGCAACTTTCGGATATTGGAATTCTGGATCATGCTGCTTTTCCTTCCTTTCTTTTGCCTTTAAAAGTAACTTCTTTTTTACTGGTCAGGTCAACAAAGTCATGATATTTCGATTTATTTATTTCTTATTTTACTTACATATAATGGATTTATCTGGACCAATACATGATTTTCTTTTAGTCTTTCTGGGATTAGTTCTTATATTAGGAAGTCTAGGAGTGATAAGCTCATGATGTTCATATCGATCTATTATGCGCCAATGCATCTAGCATTGGGTAGACCTCATACAATAACTGTCCTAGCTCTACCCTATCTTTTGTTTCATTTCTTCTGGAACAATCACAAACACTTTTTTGATTATGGATCTACTACCAGAAATTCAATGCGTAATCTCAGCATTCAATGTGGATTCCTGAATAATCTCATTGTTTTGAGAATTCAAGAGAAGGTCACGGCGAGACGAGCCGTTTATCATTACGATAGGTGTCAAGTGGAAGTGCAGTGATGTATGCAGCTGAGGCATCCTAACAGACCGGTAGACTTGAACCTTGGTCCTACATGACCCGATCAATTCAGGGAAACAGCCCGGATCACCAGCTAAGGCCCCTAAATGACCGCTCAGTGATAAAGGAGGTAGGGGTGCAGAGACAGCCAGGAGGTTTGCCTAGAAGCAGCCACCCTTGAAAGAGTGCGTAATAGCTCACTGATCGAGCGCTCTTGCGCAGAAGATGAACGGGGCTAAGCGAGGCGGTAATGATAGTATCTTGTACCTCAACCGGTGGCTCACTTTTTCTAAGTAATGGGGAAGAGGACCGAAACATGCCACTGAAAGACTCTACTGAGACAAAGAAGGGCTGTCAAGAACGTAGAGGAGGTAGGATGGGCAATTGGTCAGATCTAGTATGTTACGTACATGGACCGTAGTTGGAATCGGCGTCTCTTCTAGGGTTCCCTCATGTTTAAAATTTAAAAAATATTAACTAAAAACAAAAGAATACGAAAACCAAAAAAATTCAGTTTTAAAAAAACTTAATCAGGAAACTCACTATTATTTTGTTCAAACAAAAATCATATAATGAGTTTTTATTTATAACTTAATATAAAAATTAAAATAAAATTTAAAGTTATTTATTACCATATTAAAATAATTTTAATTCAAAACACTATTTAAATGCATACCATCAAAAAAATACTACCTTTCAAATTTGATTTAATTTTAATGCAAGTTTGAATTAAGCTAATGAGTGCCATTTTGGGAAGAGATGAAAAACGCCATGTTTTTGTCCGCGGAAGAAAAACACCAAGCTGCCGAAAATGCCAGGACTTGCATTTGGAAGTCACAAAAAAAAGCTGCCTTGTGAAATTACGTAAATACCCTCCATGTTAATAAATAACCTAAAATTCCAAAGTTTATCTTCTTCTTTT